CTGGAAAAAAAAAGAAAAAACGAATCATCCTAATGGCTTTCGCTTCCCGAAATATCCCTCTATGAAAGCTGGTTGGCACTCGAGCCTGGTGCCTCGTGCCTCGTGCCGCCGCTGCCGCCACCGCCACCGCCGTCCGCTGCCACCGCCGCCGAGTGACACAACAGGAGGCGGGTGGGGGAGGGGAGGGGGAGGGGAGACTTGTCGGGCAATTTGCGATGTATGAAAGCACGCTCGCCACGATTGGGCTTGGGCGATTATTAGCGATGAGTGCCGAGCGATACAGAGTGGTGTATTTCGGTAGTTTTTTTTCCCATTTCCTAACGGTGTGTCTCCCTGTGAGCGTACAACAACGCACGTGGATGCGATATGTACAGAGATATACGAACGGGTGATTAGAGGATTCCTTTTATGCAAAAAATACAAATAGGGGATTTTTTTCTTTCTTTTTTTTTCTTTTCGTCCCCGTGGTTTCGACGTCGCTCCGAGAAACCGGAGTGACGAAGAGCCTCGCGCGGCAGGAACCGGAAGCGGGGTTTCGAGAGGCGGTTTTGGGACAGGCGTCGCTGAGGAGAACCATTTGCGGAGCGGAACCCGAAGCGGAGGAGGATAGGGGGAGGGAGGAGGAGGATAGAAGGAGGAGGAGGATAGGGGAAGGAGGAGGTTAGGGGAAGGAGGAGGATAATAGGAAGAGGAGGAGGAGGAGATCCCCCGGGGAATGCGTCATGTGGGAATGGATTGACTGCCGATGAAGCCAATTTTTCCGCCGACGACGCCAAAAGGTGATTGGGCTGATGGCGATGATAGGAGCTGATTATGATGATAGGAGCGCGTGTCGGCCATAGGAGCCGATGTCTGTTATAGGAGCTCGTGGTGATCATGGGAGTCGACGTCGATAATGGGAGGTCATGGTCATAGGAGCCCAAGTCAACACCGCGAACCACGGCGAACTACACCCAACCAGAGGCCTCTCCGGGGGCGTTCGAGTTGCCGTTCGTGCAAAAGAGGGAGGGGAGGCGGGGGGCGGGGAAGGAGGAGGGGGGGGAGACGGAGTAGGGGGAGGGGGGAGAGACGGAGGAGAGGAGGGGAGGGGGAGGGAAAGAGGAGGAGGGAGGGGAGGGGGGAGAGCGGAAGGGGGGAGGGGGAAGACGGAGGAGGGGAGAATAAAGGCAAGGTGAAATTACCCTTAAAACCGGCTACGAACATAAAACGCGTGTTACCGTTTGATTTGCATGTAAATAGTGTCGAATTGCCCCCCGCTTGCTCGCCGATTATTAACATGGCGGGGCAGCGGTGGGAAGATTGCGGCGCTGTATTTACCATGTGAATATGTCGGCCGTCGTGGGCGCGCAGGCGAGGGGGGCCGCGCGCAGAGTTCCGTGTTGTCTTTGGTGTTATTCGTGAGCGGGGACGGAGGCTGTGGGGGCGCTGCGGGACCGTCGGGCGCGCTGCGGGAAAGCGGTTGTGAGCGCTCGGTTTTTGTGGCGCCGTCCTGGGCTCTGAGGGGAAGGCTCGCCGCCGCCGTCGCCATGTCACCGGCTCGGGTTTGGGACGATGGCCCTCTCCTCCCCCCTCGTACCCCTTTCCTTCGCCTTTCTCCCCGACACTTTCCTCCCCTTCCCCCCTCCTTCTTCCAACTCTTCCTCCCCTCACCTCCTCCCCCCACCCACCCCCCTCCTCCCCGACCGTACAGGCCAACTGTTACGGGGACAAACCTACGGGATTGACCGCCACCTCTTCCCGAATGGCCAAATTTCCCGCGTCGAACGGGCGCGGCCTGCGGTAAAGGCCTCGGCGATGGGGCGTGGGCGGAGGAAAATGCGGGGGTGGGGGTGATAGGAGGGACAGGAGTTAGGGGGAAGCGGGTGCGAGGTAGGGGCTGAGGTATGGGGGCAAGGGCAGGGGTGGGGTGGCAGGGGAAGGGGCTTGGGGGGGGGGGAGGTGATTAGGTGAAAGAGGGGGGTGCGAATTATTATAATTAGGCAAAAAAACTAAAACTGTTGGTCCTAATTCACAGCCTCATTATCACCGTGGCGTTTGCACCTTTGCGAAGGGCGGGAGGAGGGTAGCGATGGAGGAGGGAAAGGACTGCGAGCGAAAGAGGGAGGGAAAAAGGGAGGAGAAAAAAACGGAGACAAGGGGGGGAAAGAAAAGGAGCCAAGGAAGGGAGGATGAAAGGGAGGAGAACGAAAAGGAGCGAAGGAAGGGAAGAAGAAAGAAAGGAAATAAGGAAGAAAGGCAGGGGAATGAAAAGGAGTAGAAGGAAAAGAAGCGAAAGGGAGGAGAAAGAAAAGGAGCGAAGGAAAGGAGGAAGAAAGGAAGGAGAAAAAAGGGGGATGAGGGAGTCTGGTAAAGCGAAAGATGCAGAAAGTAAAAAAGTGGAGGGAATGATTAATAGACCAGCAGATAGATCGAGATTAAGTGGAAGAAACGAAACTGAGAAAGTATGAGAACCGAAAGATCATTAATTAAGAGGGAGAATTTCCATATATACTTCGCAAAGTTTCAGTCGTAAAAAAATATGGTTGCGTAAAAATGACGAGGGAGTTACGTTCCTGAATAATTATGATAAAAAGAAGAAGACAAAGACGGAGATAGCGAAGGAGATAGCATTGCAAGAGAGGAAGGCAGAGATAACGAGAACACCGGTGATAACAGAGGCAGAAAGCAGAAAGAATGTCACAGCCAGTAGTCACTGCTGTCAAGAGAGAGATAAAAGCTGTCAGCTCCTTGAGGCTAAGGGGGAGAAGGTGGGGGGGGGACAGGAGGAAGGGGGGAGACAGGAGGGGAGGAGGGAAGGGAGGAAGCAGGGGCTGGAGGGAAGGAGAGGTAAGGGAGGGGGTGGGAGGGAAAGAAGGAGGCGAAGGCAGGGGGTGAGGGAAAAAGGAGAGGCGGCCGGGGGTGAGGGAAGAAGGAGAGGAAGGCGGGGGATCGGAGGGAAAAGAAGGAGAGGAAGGGCGGGGTGGAGAGGAAATGAACGAGAGGCACGAAGGCGGGGGTGATGGAGTGAAGAATCTAGTAGGAAAGAGCTGGGGGTGGAGGGAAAGAAAGGAGAGGAAGGCGGGGGTGGAGGGAAAGAGGAGAAGGAAGGCGGGTGGAGTTGGAGGAAGGAGAGAAGGCGGGGGTTGTGAGTGGAAAGAAGGAGAGGAAGTGCCGGGGGTTGAGGAAGAAGGAGAGAAGGCGGGGGTGGAGGGAAGAAGGAGAGGAAAGTGCGGGGGTGAGAGGAAGAATATGTGTAAGTTATGGTGGGTTTGTTATATAAGTTGTAGTACGCGCGTGTGGGTTGAGTGACAAAGTAAGGAGTAGTCGAGGGGTTGGCACGCGCGGAAAGTAGAGAGGTACAGCTGCGGGGTTGTGGGATAATGAGAGTAGGAAGGCGGGGTGTGAGGGAAAGAAGGACTGAGGTGAAGGCTGTGTGGTCGGTGTGGAATATGAAGGTAGAGGACGGCGGGGTGGAGGGAAGAAGGAGAGGAAGGCCGGGGGTGGAGGGAAAGATAGAGGATGGCTCGTGGTGTTGGAGGTGCGATATAGAAGGAGAGAGAGGAGTGTGGTGGGAGTGGATTGTTATATGTGAGTATGTAATGTGGGGCGGGGTTGAGGGAATGGATACTGGAGAGGAAGTGCGGTGTGTTGTGGATTTGGGTAAACGGATAAGGAGAGGAA